CACTCCCTTTGGAGTGCTTACTTATGTGCTGAAAGGGTTGTGGAAGGGTTGGCTCAGCCCCTTGGGGTTGCCTCGGGTATGTATGACCGAACTTTCCTCCAAAGCAAGAGTCCTCCACTGGGCTGTGTACCTGGGGCCCTGCCACTCAGCAATTTCTGGTACCACTAGCCAGGGAGCGGGAAATTTCCCCTTCCGAGCTCACATTCTGCTTCCACATCTCCCACATTGCCAAATAGCCGTTACAACACAGCACACGAATAAAACTTTATTTACAAAAACAGGTAGGGGGCAAGATTTAGCCTGTAAACTCTCATTTGTTTAGTCCTGGGCTCTGGGTTCAAATCAAGCTTCTTGGGTTCGAATCCAGCCTCTGCCCCTTACTAGCTGTGTGACCCTGGATAAGTTACTAAACATCTCTATGCCTTACATTTGTTATCTGTATAACAGGGATACTAGTACCTACTTGAAGTTGTGAGGACACACGCACTGTCTCAGGACACATGCTGGCCTCACGTGTGACCCAGGCTGCCGAGGGCCTACCTGGCTGGCTCCCCGTGTGAGCTGATTCCGGTAGTAACCCCATCCTGGAGCTCTTGCTCCTCCTCTCTTACTGTTCCTCACTCCTTTCTCCAGGCCAAGGTGCAAGCCATTTCTCTCTCCCGGCCTTTTTAACTTTTCAGGAACAGGGTCTTTTTCCAGAGCTCCTGGATCTTCACCTGTTACAGGTTATAACCACTCCTTTCAAAGTCCCAAAGCCCTCAGGGATGCGCCCAACTGGCCTCTCCTCTGTCCAATCTCTTTTCAGACTTTACGAGCAGTGATTTTCTCCTACTCTTTTTTATAGGTGAGTACCCAAGCCCTCCAGGCCTGGGACGTATGGACCCAAGGTCAACCGAAGTCCTCCCTTTCTAGAATCCCCTAGGACACTCTTTCCAAGGCCCCTCTGGTCACTCACTCCCCCTAGAGCAGAAAGTAGGGGAAGAGGCAGGTGCAGGGAGCAAGTGTCCCGCTGGAGGGTTTCTGCCTCCGCTAACAGGTCTCCTTGGGCCAGCACGTTTGAGAACTGATGTCCCAGCTATAAACATCCAGGCAAATGCACAGGCATGAATGGACTTTGCATTTTGAATTTTGATACCAAGGGAAATTTAGAAGTATAGGTGTAACACAGTTTAAACTACTTTTCAATTATGGAGACAAAGTACTTAGATTTGTATTTTCTCGCATAACGTGTTTTCCTTTCAAGCTTGTATCACGATGATGTTTTTAAGCCATTTTAAATTTTAGAATAGAAATCACCATGCTTACTGTTATTCTAAACTAGCAGGTTTTAAAACTTTGTGAGTCAGCAGGACCTTGTCCTCAAACAAAATCTTATATTAGACTCTCCTTTTATAAAGCAGATAAACATTGGTTTACTGGGAAAGAGGGGAGGGCAGCCCCGAGGTTGTCTGCAGCACTTGAAAGTTGTAGTGAACATATTTTTAAAAACCACTACTTGAGAATATAACCATACTTCACTGAAATGTAAACACCGACGACTGTAAGGCATACCATGTAGAATAAAAAAAACGTGGCATGCCGGTGACTGATTATAACACAAGCCAATTTCAAAGATGTTAAAGTGTGGTCAGTGGGTAGGTGGAATTGATGATTTATAGCAGCATAATAAATATACGCAGCCCAGCCGGTGTGGCTCAGTGATTGAGTGTCAACCCATGTACCAAGAGGTCATCAGTTCGATTCCCGGTCAGGGAACATCCCAGGTTGTGGACCCAATCCCCATTGTGGGGCATACAGGAGGCGGCCAATCAATGTTCTTTCTCACCGATGTTTCTATCTCTCTCTCCCTCTCCCTTCCTCTCTCTCTAAAAATCAATAAAGAAAAAAATTGAAAGTACATAAATATATGCATAAACCGTGTTCATTTAGTCACACGGTCGATCTGAAAGTTAAATTTCAGTGAAGCGGCGACAATCGCTTCACATAAACGCTAACTTCCATCTGCAGGACTAAGTGCTGCCTGCGCACCAGACAAGTGCCAGCTGGGGGGTCACCTGGGCACCCCTGGCCTTTCCTCCATGTCGTAGTGTTCCCACTAACTGAGCACTTGCCAAGCAGGGTGCTGAGTGCTGCAGGTGCATCGTCTCATTCCAACCTCACAAGAACCCTCCACAGCAGGTATTATCCTCCTCTTCTATAGAGGCGGAGACTGAAGCTCAGGGACACTCCGCAACTTGTCCAAAGTCACACAGCTAGCAAATGTGGCAGGTCAGATATGCTGACTTCAAAGCCCTATTGTTCTATTTTCTAGAATATTCTAGAAAACTCTAGTTGGAAGTGATGTAGAGGTCCCTGCTTTCCTATTTAAGAATCTCCCTTCTCACCCTGGTTGGATTGACTCAGTGGTTGGAGTGTCAGCCCACAGACCAAAGAGTCGCGGGTTCGATTCCAGTCAAGGGCACGTGCCTCATTTGCAGTTCATCCCCGGCCTTGGTCGAGGTCATGCGGGAGGCAACTAATCATCGATGTCTCATCGATGTCTCTCTCTCATCGATGTCTCTCTTGCATCTCTCTCTCTCTCTCTTTCTCTCTCCTTCCCACTCTATCTGAAGATAAATGGAAAAATATCCTCGAGTGAGGATTTAAAAAAAAAAAAGGAATCTCTCTTCTCAGCATCCCTAACAGATGGTGATGTTTCAGCAAGTCTGACCAGATAGAGAACAGTCTACCTAAAGGCATGATTATCAAACCTGCCCGATCATCAAAAGCACCTGGGAAGCTTTCAAAAATGCAGATTTCTGGGGCCTTCTTGTAAGGTCTCCCCCACGCCAAGTAGGTCTGGAACGAAGCCCAGAAATCTGCATCTTTAGAAAGCACACCCAGCTGATTCTGATACATGGGCAGGTTTAGAAACCATTAATGCAACCTCACGATGGCTTAAAAGCAAATTATTGTTAGAGGAAGAAAAGCTGAGTTTCGGCCTCATCAAGGAAGCACAAAAGGAGAATGATGCGATGTTCTGTTGGTTAGAATAATTCAATACTGAAACATGAGTAGGAAAAACACCACTCATGGGAAATCCCACATGAACCACTGAACCCTGCCTGGGTGGGGCTAATTCCTCTTACCAAACAACTCTCAGCCCAGACCCACACCTGGCGCTATCGCGAAGAGAGACATTGCTGGTTCCAGAGTGAGGTGGTCCAGGCCCAACTCAAAATGCCATGTCTCCTGGAGTGGTTCTGCCCCATGCTTCCCCCCTCATTGGCTTCCCCAAGACCCGGAGATTGAAAGCTAAGATCTTAATCCCAATAAATCAGCACTAGGATTTTTACGTGAAGAGACGCAAGTTTTCTGTCATCATGGGGGAGGGGGTCAGGAGAAGAAAAGGGGGCAAAATGTGGCTGGATGAGCGTTGGCAGGTTTGCTGTAGGGGGGACACTGAAGCATTAGATGGGGTGGGGGTACACTATTTTCAAAAGAATTAAAGTAAACTTCGAGGTTCTATTTAGCTCTCTAATTCAGAAAATATCGAGTCCACTAAGGTTTCACTTCCAGCCTTGGCTCTGAAACCTGTAGAGCAGCACAGTTCAGAACATTCTACCACGATGGAAATGTTCTAGATCTGCCACCGTCCAGTACGGTAGCCACCACCCACATGTACCTAGTAAGCACTAGAAATATGGCTAGTGTGATTCAGGAAAAAATATTTAATTTTATCTAATTGTAATTTCAATTTAAAGAGCCAAGATGATTAGTGGCTACCATATTGGACAGCGCAGTTCTAGAGGGTCTATCCCAGCCTTGTCCTGAACTCTGTGGTCTGAGCTGCCTATTCAACACCAGCGATTATGAAATCACCAAAGTCCAAAGCATGAGAACACAAAAGCCCTGACAAAGAACAGGAAGGAGACATCAGAATATGTATGCCTCTACCCCACCGCAGTGTCAGGAGAGACCACCATGAGGGACCCACCACAGAAATCAGTCTCCGCCCAGTATTCTTGGTCACCTTAAGGATAAAGCAAAAATGACTTCAGGGGTAATTGAAGCAATAGTGATAGTGCCAATGATTAAAATCCATCTCAAAACAACCAATCAAGGCCAAAAGTGGTGTGATTTCCTCATCTTTTCTGTCTGTGCTAAGCATGACAGTGACTTTACTCTCTTGTTTCTCTTCCTCCAGTCAACTCATAGCTGCCCGTCTCGTCTCACTGTGTGTGTGCTTCATTACCCCCTTTTCACCAGCCACTCTGGCTTGATCTTAAGCCCAAGGAATCGCACGATTTAGCCAATTTGGTCAACTAGTCGTTTTGGCGAGAACTCTGGATCGAAATGGTCATTGGGCTGAATTGATGAACCAGCCAGAGCGTTGTGCTGATAGGATGGAAGGGACCTCCCCATTTCTCTTCAGTCCACTCACATGTCCTTTGGTTGGGATAATTCTGCCCACATGTACATGTCAGGGAAAGCACCTCTTAAGTATACAAAACCCACTAAATTGGGAACAGTGGGGGATCCTCTTCCATCCACTCAACATGTATGTCCCAAGGGCCTCCATGTATCAGGGACTGCATTGGGCTCCTATAGTCGGACAGATAATGTCTTTCTTCCATGGGACTTAGAGTAGCAAAAAGGTAGCAAAAGAGCACTATTTAGTTAGCTTCCACCTCATAAGAGGTGTCCACTTGTCATAACACTCCTGGAAGGCAAATGTAGATACAGAAGTGGAAGCTCAGATTTGCCGCCATCTCCTCAGTCTGTGTGCTCTTTGCTTCTCTCCACTGCCTGCTAGTGCATTCTCTTCCTCTAACTCTTCGAGGATTGCAAACAGCCTCTTTCGGGCTGTCCTCTTACCACAAGAGTAAGGGTGTCCAGAAAGCCTGCTGAGCCAGAGGCCCGTTATCAGGCAGGAAGGAGGAATTACCGCCACCCCAACCCAAGAACACAGCCTCCTACCGGGAATACCATAGTTAAACAGTATTTCAGAGAGAACTTACCGGCCACCACACCATACTTCGTCCTGCCAGGAAGAAGCCTCCAACGGTCCCACGATTAGTGGAAAACATAGCCTGAGGAGGAAAAGTCAAAAATTTAACAGAAAACTAGAACAGAGGGACCTTGTCAGCAAAAAGGACAAGTCTCCCCCTATACTCCAGCTTTCTTCCACCCGCTTCACGTTCTGAAGCATTTCCAAGGTCCCCACTCCCCGGAGCTCCACTATGCAGGGGGAGGCAGGGACCTCCAGTTGACAGACAAGGACACTGAGCTCAGCTCGCAAGGTCTAGCAGCTTGTCCTGGTGCTAACTTCAATGAGCCTATGGTGTGGCTTCGAGCAATTCACACCACCTGGATCTGTTTGCTTCTCTGTTAAGTAAGGGGAAATCGAAAAGTTTATGGCTTTTTTACAAGCATACTCAAGGTGGGTGATGAAGCATCATAGCTTTTAAAAGCACCATTCGGTATGTAATTACATCTAAATAATGCTGAGAAAGAAAGAAAGAAAGAAAGAAAGAAAGAAAGAAAGAAAGAAAGAAAGAAAGAAAGAAAGAAAGAAAGAAAGAAAGAAAGAGGAGGGAGGGAGGGAGGAAGGAGGGAAAGAAGGAAAGAAGGAGAAAAGAGTGGGGGGAGGGAGGGAAAGAAGCTATAGGAATGCATGGCACTCAGATTTAATATTACAAAAAAGACTAAACATTCAAACTCAATTCAAAACTTTCTTCTTTGAGTCCCGCCGGTATGACTCAGTGGTTGAGCATCAACCCATGCACCAAGAGGTCGCCTGTTTAATTCCTGGTCAGGGCACATGCCCAGGTTGTGGGTCAAATCCCCAGTGGGGGGCATGCAGGAGGTGGCCAGTCAATATTCTCTCTCATCAATGTTTCTATCTCTCTCTCTCTCCTCTCTTCCTCTCTCTCTAAAATTAATAAAGGAAATACAAATTGTTTAATTTAAACTTTTTTTTGAGGCTGTAGGTGGGAGTTTGCTAGAAACATTACTTTTCAGTGTAATATCAGTACTGCAGAATGATTGACTATTATTATGAATCCGGAGGAAGGAGGAGGTTCCTTCTGTCTGGGGTATCAGGAAAGACTTCCCTAAGAGGGCAGCATTTCAGCAAGTCTTGAAAAAAGAGGGGGATTTACTAGTCAGAGAAAAGAAGAAAAGACATTTCAGACCGCAGGAACAGCAGGAGTGAGGACCCAGAGGTGGAATTTCACCAATGTGGGGAGCAGGGGAAGGTGAATAATGTTGTCTGATAGGCCTGGTTAAGGCATAGAAATGGGTAGAGTGCGGAGAAGTGGGAACAGACCACAGGCTCTCAAATGCCAGCCTAAGAAGTATAGGGTTTATTCCGTAGTCAGTAGGGAGCCACTGAAGGTTTATGAGAGAAGAATGACATGCATTTTCAATAAATGACAACCAGCCCCTCTCACAGCTCCTTGAACCTCTGAACCTTCAGCTCATTCCTAGTGCAGCTCAGTCCTCCAGGACAGAAGGGGGACTGTGTCTGCCCTGGCCTTCCTTCCCCTTGCTCTCTCTATGTCAAAGGCCTTCCCTTAGCTGAAGCTTGCTAATCTTCCTGCCCTGTCAAAGGTATCTGTGTTTTCACAGGTGACCCCTGAGGTTAGAGAGTATTGCTGGACCAAATGAATGAATCTCTGATGCTGACATTTCAGGCACTTAGAAATCCACCACTTATTCAGCAAAGTGTCTGCTCCAGATCGCACATTGCTGTGCTCAGACTGCAGAGATGCATTGGACTTCGTCCTTCAGGGAGCAGGACCATTCATGCATCCAAACAATCAACATAGATTTGGTGCACAGCCCTGTGTTTTAGGCAGTGCCAGAGAGAGCACCGCTCAGATCTTTCTGGACACCTGGCAGGGTCCTCCCTCCCATAGGACATACTCTCCGGGCCTCTGTTGTGGTTATTCTGGGAATTGCAAGAGAACCAATAGACCCAAGGTTCAGAGAAGGTAGCTAGGGCTGAAACAGAAATAAGTCCCAAGAACTCAGGCTCCAGCAGTTGGCCAGAGAAAAACCCTTCTGAATGTCATTATGAAGCTGAAGAAGGTTGAGGAACAGGAAAAGTGGGTTTGGAGCCCAGACACATTTCCAAGCTGGTCTTAGAAATGAAGAGCTTAGAGGAAGAATATGAGGGTAGAGACTAGAGTGGGAAGCTGGAATAATTCAGCAATCATGTTGGGGATAGGAAGGTATCTACTCCCAGCCTTTTCCTCTCTGAAATATTCATCCCTCATCTCCAAAAGTCCAGGCCCTGCATACCCATCCATCAAGGACCCTTCAAATGCACCTTCCCCATGAAGCCTCACCTGACACTCCCCAGGACGTCTCCTCCTCTTCTCCCTGAACAAAAATAATTTCTCTCCCCTGTGAACATCTAGAGAACTCCAGCTATACCTCGTACACACCTCTTATAACCTTTTTTACTTTATATTACAAATTTTCTTTCTAGCTTTATTGAGGCATCTAAACAAATAAAAACTGAATATATTTAAGGTGTCCAACGTGATGTTTTGACATCCATATTCATTGCCAGAAACTGAGGAGTGGGGGAAATGGAGAGAGGTTGGTCAAAGGTGCAACGTTTTGGTTATAAAATTAAGTTCTGGAGATTTAATGTACAGCATGGGGAGTATAGTTCATAATACTGTACGGTATCGTTAAATTCACTGAGAGTAAATCATGACTATTCTCACCACAAAAAAATATTGCAACCATGTGAGGTGAATGTTAATTAGCTTGATTGTGGTCGTCATTTTACAAATATTTAATCCCCCATAGTGCTTAATATAATGCCTTGTGCATGGTGCACATTCAGTAAAAAGTTAAATGGATGGGATTCTCAGATCTCTCAGGCGCCACGCCTCCTCCCACCCTTAACACTCTTTATGGAAACGTTAACCCCAGGCAGGGGTTCTGCAAAGAGTGTCAGCAGCATCCAGTAGGTGCTTCCTGGGTTGTGCATGGCGTCTCCTGTACTCTGCCTCCTTTCTCCCTGCTGTTTGCTGCCTACAAATAGGAAGACACTGTCTCCATGAGCACAGGTTGCTCCAAGGTTCAACCATGGCATTAAATTGTCCTGTATACCCTGCAACTGGAAGAGAATGATTTCACTATTGCAAGTCTCAGGAGCCAACAAAGCATGACTACTGACCCACGTGTTTTGTCCTCAAGGGAATAAAAGTATCACTGAGCAAAGGAAGGTACTTCAGACCTGCGAAGTTCATGAAAGTGGGGATGTTGGGCTGGAGAAGAGAGGACTCGATGTGGCCTGTCATCTTCTGATATGTAAAGTGGGAGAGACTCACTTAGAAGGCACAACCGGACACAATGGAGAAGCTCCTGGACATCAGACCTGAGCTCAGAACAAGGAAGAGTCTCCTCACTGTCAGAGGTGTCCAGAGATGGACATGCGGCCACTGAGAGAGCTTTGGCTACAAGTGTCCCAGTGAAGTGCTGACAACTTGTCAAGATGATTCTGTCAAGCGGTTTAAAGAGACTCAAGCCTAAGATGAGGATAAACTGTAGACCCTCACTTTACAAAAATATGTGAGGAAAGAAGGAATTCTGCACCCCCAGAACATTGCCACGGCAACACAAGTGGTGGGGAGGACCCTGGAGAGAACATTCCCAGAAAAATAAATAGTGTCTTAGGAGGGGGAAAGGTGAGACACTGCAAAGAGCATGGCATTTGGAATCTTAAGACCTGCGTTCTAGTCCCCGCTCTGGTGCTGATGCATCTGAGTGACTTCTAGTCTCCCTCACTGACCCTCATCTGAAGATGGAACTGTCCCCCCACCCCCACCCCCGAGGAGCCATTGGTACGCAAGCATCCAATGATGCTATTAGTACAAATGATCGCATGAGGCAAGGATCAGTAAGTGTTTTCTGTTAATAAAAAGGGCCAGATAATAAATAGGTTTTGTGGGATACATATGATCTCCACCAAATATTCCTGTTGTTCTGCTGTTTACAACCTCTTAAAAGTGTAAAAACCATTCTTAACTTGTGGGCCACACAAAACAGGCTGTGAGCCAGATTTGGCCCATGGTCATAGTCAACAACCCTCAGCATAAAGGGTTTAAGGATATCTTAATAAATGTTCCAAAAGAATAAGGTAAGAGGCTCAGCCTAAAAGGATACAAAATTCCCCAAGGAGCAAACTGAGAGGCAGTGAAAGGAAATGGAAATATACAGTTGACCCTTGAGCAATGTGGGGGTTAGGGGTGCCAAACCCCACAAAATTGAAAATCCATATATAAATTTTGATTCCGCAAACACTTAACTACAGTTGTCCCTCAGTATCCATGGATTGGCCCCAGGATTCCCCCGTGGACACCAAATCCACCGATGCTCACGTCCCTTATACAAACCAGTGTAGAAAATGCATACAGTCAGCCCTCTGTATTTGCAAATTCCCAACCGAGGATTGAAATCGTTTTCTATCCACAGTCAGGTGAATCCAAGGATGTGAAACCCCAGGATACAGAGTGTCAACCAAATATTTATTGAAAAAAATCTGTGTATAAGTGGATCCACGGAGTTCACACACATGTTTTTCAAGGGTCAACTGTACACTGAAAAATAAGCTCAAGCCCCAATATAACTGGATGAGGTAGCATTGAAAGAAGATGAAACAGAACAAAATTGTGTTGGAAGAGATGGGGATGGGGACAGAGGGACAGTAGCTGTGTCTTTTCTAAGTTGAGGAAGCACAGCAGGGCTGGCTCACTCTGTCTCGGCAGCCCAGAGATCATACAGGAGTCAGGATGCCTGTCCCTGAACCAAGCCACTCCTGAAGCTCCAAGAGAAAAAGGGAGAATGCAAACTGGAAGAAAGCCAGCCTGGTCAATGATCAGGGTCCAGAGACACTGACTAATGGGGAAAGAGCAAGCGTGGACATTTACTAGCAGGCTGTTAGATAGCATTTAACAGGACAAGTGCTTCTGATTCAAAGATATTTGAAGAGTGTCAGCACCATAATCAGCGGGACTGGCAGGGCTAAATAAGATGAAATTGCTGAAGGGGATGAGATGATCCGATTGTCTGGGAGGCGGGCACTAGGACACAGCTAGTAAATGATGCAGTCACATCTGGGCTCCAGCTCTTCTAAGCTGTGGAGGGTGAGAGGAAAGGCAGGTACAGCAAAGTACCTGGTGTCGTGTAAAAGATCCCTGACTTCCAGGAATAATTCCATGTATTGCAACCGCAGACAAATCACAACCACATGGCACTTCAATGTCCTCTTCTGTGAAATGGGGACTAACATTCCTGCCCTCTCTGTCTCGTGGCTTTTTGTCAAGATGTCCTACCCAGCTGACCACTTTTGTCCACTTAAAAAAACAAAAATAATTCAGGGCCTGGGTCATACCCTCGAGGGCAAATAATAATAGTGTTTTTAAAGATTTCTAGCATCCATCATGCACTTTCAGATTCATCTCTGCAGATCCCCTCAACAGCCTGGGGGAGTCATAGGATAGGTAAGATTGTGTCCATTTTACAATTAAGTAAACTGAGGCTGAGGCGGGCTACCCAAGCTCACATGTCTGGAGCCATGCCAAAGCCGTTACTAAACTTGAGAATCCTAGCTCCTAGTTGGACACATATGGGAAGCTGAGGGATTAGAGGAAGGGTCAGCTACACCAGCCCCTTGTGACACTTGGGGAGGCTTTTAGTCATATCTGGTTTCCACAATGACTTAAAGAAGAAAAAAAAAGTTATTTTATCCCTAAAAATAAACTCTGTGGCCATGGAAGGGTTAATGTCCACCCTCATCCCCTCCTGGCCTGCCATCTCCCCCCTGCCCCCCAAAGCCTTTGAGAGTGGCTGGAATTTTTGCACATTTAAAACACCTCCTCTTCTGGCTGATGGGTGTGCCAGAGTCTGTCACAAGTGAAATTTCCATGTTCCAGGTTTCTAAGAACAAGTTTCTCTGGTTTGGTGTGTCCCTGGGAGTCCCAAAGGGGAGCCAACTGCATTTCCCTCTTCCCGTTGCCAGGATCCTCTCCAGTCTTCCTTCTCCTCCTCCTCCTCAACCCAGCGTTCCCAACTCTCACTCACTCCAGCCCCTGGGATCCCCATGGCACAAGGCCTTCAGGTCAGCCTATCCCAGGAGGGAGACACCAGGCAGCACCCTCCTTAGGCGGCCCCGGGCACCTGCAGCTGGCAGAGGCTCGTGTCCTTTTCCATCCGAACTGGATGACTAAGAGGCAGGACAAGCCTGGGGACCCTCCCTGCAGCTCCAGGCTGGCACTGTCCTGCCCACCCTCCTTCTCTGCTCGCAGGTCCGTGTTCATCTCCGTGTGCTGGCCAGCGCCCCCTCACTTCCGTTCGCTGCTTTCCCTCCTCACCTCACACTGTGCCCCGACTTCTCTTAGCGCTTCCAAGTCATTCCCTTTCTGCTCCACACACTCTTCAGGCCGGCCCCCTCCCCTCCTCACAGTTCCCCCAGACCCTTGCTCCTCCGTGTGCCTCCCCTGTCCCTCCCGTTGGCCCTCGCTCCGTCGCGAGTGTCCCCCACATACCCACAGCCCCACAGCCATGACCACCACGAAGTAGACGACGATGACAGAGATGTCGGCAGCATTGCGGATGCGCTCGTGGGGCGCGAGGGGTGCAGCAGTCGCGTTGGTCACGGGGCTCCAGGTGGTACTGTCCATGGCAGCGGTGGCAACGAGGTGTCCCTCTCGCCGCGGCCACTCGCTCCTTATAAGGTCTCTGGGTTAATGATCAGCCCCGGAGGAGGGCAGGAGGGCACCCGAGAGTCGTGCAGCCGGCGGTGGCGCAGGACCTCTGCGGGGCACCTGCCGTCGGAGCAGCTCCGCACACAGCAGGCAGTGGGAGCCGGCAGAGCTGCTGGAGGGCTGGCAGCTGACAGGTAAAGGTTTATCTACAGGGAGGGGCCAGCCAAGGGGTGGTGCCTGGTACAAGAGCTGGCTGTGCTCCGCAGCGGGCACCCTGCTGGGCGGCCTGGACTGCCCGGGGGCCACTCCCCAGCAGAGGAGCGGCTCCAGTGAGAACCAGGATGCCTGGGGTCAAGAGCCCAAAGTCTTCAGGTCACCTGCCACCTGCCCTGGGACCAGTCCCACGCCTCTCTGGACATGGTTCCTCCCGGTGTAAAATGGATGCAGGACCGACTGTTTCCCAGAATCAGCCAAGTTCTTGGTCTCCGTGGAGAACCCTACCAGGAGGACCGGAAGTTGTTGAATGATGCTGGTGAAACATTCAGGCAATTGCAATCTCTTGGCCACTGGATGGCCACCCACCCGCCCGCATTTCTGACTCCCCTTGCACAGCCTGCAGCCCTCAGGGACCCTGTTACCCCACCGTGAGGAGGAAGAAACTGAGGCTAGGGAAGGGAATCCCTCTTTCCTTGCCCTGTGCTTCACTCAATCATGTGATCTGGGGCCCCTCCAGTCAGGCAGGAGGAAAAGTAATAGAGAACTCTTTCCAGGGAGCTCATCAAACCCTGGCCCTTCCTGGGGACTCAGCCCATCTGGAAACACACGTCTAAGCCGAAAGTCAGGGCTCAACACAGAGATGGCTGAGAGGAAGGATGACTCACCCAAGGTCACACAGTGAGCCGGTGATAAATGTGGCCCTGCGGCCCGGGCCAGGGCAGGCCCAGTTCAGAGGACGGTTGGGGGATGCTCTCGGAGGCTGATGCTGGAGGCACCAAGCAACGCTTTTGGACAGAGGCCTGGAGGGGGGAGCCTTGCTGGGGCGATGAGGTACAGGGAGGGGAAAGACCACACACACCCTGCCAGGATGCTGTTCTGCCTCAGGTTCTCCCTGCCCACCAGCCGGCAAGCATCCAGGGCCCACATGCCAGCAGCCTGTTCCTTTGCACCTGCTACCTCGGAGGTCCACTGCCTTCCTCCCTCATCAATGCTCCATCTTCCTACTGAGGCTGCCGTCTTCCCGTTTCCCCCATCCACCCCCAAGACTGTAAAGTGTATGGGGCAATGTCCAGGGCCCACGATAATGCCTGACCACGGGGAGCAGGAATTCTCCTTCCAGGGAATTGGCAGCAGGGGCTCTTCTCCATGTGCCTCCAAGCTCCTCCACCGTGGATGCTGCATAGCTTGGAGCAATTTGCCTTTCATCCTGTCCTTGCGTTCTTGCATTCAGCAAAGCTTTCTCACCTGAGAAGGGCCAGAAGAGGGAACCAGTGAGTTGGCCTCAAGCTGCCTCCTCACCCCCAGCCCCCAGCCCCCAACCCCCAGCCCTGAGCTGGCGTCTGGGCATGGAGGGAGTCAGGGGAAGACAAGTGCCCCTGACCCTTCCTCTAAAGCTGAAGTCAACAGGGAGCTGACCCCTGGTGGGCTCCATCTAAGCATCTGTCATCCTGGGTGACCTTGGACAAACCTCCTATGTTCTCTGAGAATCACTGCTACAGTGAGATCCAATCTGATCTAACAGAGGCTTGCTGAGTGCCCAGCATGCATGTTAGTTTCCGGCTGGGACCAGAACCCAGGTTGCTTGGTGGTGAGCTACAGCTCTTTCCTCTATATCCCAAATCCCAGACAAACTTCAGGGAGGAGCTGCAGGGCAAGATGCTATAAGACACCCCAGGCTTCCTTGCCCAGAGCTCTGCACAGGGCACTGCCTGGACCCTGGTCCTCAGCCTGGAGCAGCAGGAACAGCACATGGCCTGCAGTCGAGAGGCCTGGGTTCAGGTGCCAGTTCCTCTACCAAATGGCCTTAGGCAAATCACTTCCCTCTCTAAGGTAGTTTCCTCACCTGTCAAACTGGCAGAATTTGACCAACTGCTCTCTTAAGAAGGATCCTGGTGCCAATTCTACAACTCTAGCATGGGCTCTGAAAATCCCTGAACCTCCATCTCTCATTTATAAACTGGGGACAGTAAGCCCTGGACACTTGAATGTCAGAAGCATGTCAATGACACGCCATCCGAAGTCTCATCCCTCCACACACATCTGCTGGCCCCAGGGGTGACATTTTCTTTTGCTCACTCACCACCATTTCTAAAAGCAGCCAGGGAAGGGTGAGATGTTTTATGGCCATTGCTCCTGAAGCAATCGCCCCTCCCTGGACGCTCCTCCAAAGCAGAGTGGGCAGCAGACCTGGATGGAATGCTGGCCCCTCCTGTTATTAGCTAAGTAACCTCAGAACAAGTCGTCTAACTTTGGGGGCCTCGGTGACCTCACATACAAACTGAGGATAGTAATAGCTAACATCAATGAGAGAACATACAGAAAACATTTCAGTGCACTGCCAAGTACATGTTCGGTGCTCAATAAAATGTTAACTTTTATCTTTATCATATCACCTTAACTTTGACCTTGAGATGTGGAGCCCTGAGCCCTGCCCTCGCAGAGCAGGAGACAAATCCAAAAAAGAAAACATACTGTGTGTTGAACAAGTGGGACAACTTTAGTCTTCACAATGACCCTATTGTTATCCCCATTTTATGGATGAGAAGCACTGAGACTCACAGAGGTTGAGAAACTGGCCAAGGCCGTAAAAGGCCAGGCTGGCACTCAACCCCATGTGGGTCTAATACCAGAGCCTATATTTTAATCCCTGGTGCAGGGGGAGAATGGAACAAAGAAGGGGTAAGTGAAGACTTAGCTCTGATTCCAAGCCTACCCCCAGTGAGCCCCCCTCTATTCCTCCTCCCACCTCACCCCTGGCTTGACGCTCGGCTGCCTGGAGGTGTGAGGCATTTCAGTGAGTCATTAATTATATTCTAATAGGTGAAGGCAAAAGTCAGCAGCATTACAGACACCAAATGTCCTGGTTTTCTGAAAACCCAGAGCCCAGGATGGGAGCAGGTGGAGTAGAAGAGCTAACTGTCACTCAGGTCCTGAAGAAGTCAGCCCTCTGGCAGCCACCCCTCAGTGTGACTGTCACCTCATGTGTTCCAACTCCCTCTGTGAGATGAGACATAGAAGTAGCTTGAGGAGGAGGGGAGTGAGGTTGGAGGGGAGCAGAGAGGGTATAGGGGAGATAAATGGTGATTCAAGGAGGCTTGATTTGGGTGGTAAACACACAATACAGTGTACAGATGATGTGTTATGGAATTATGCACCTGAAACCTGTATAATTTTGTTAACCAGTCACCTCAATATATTCAATAAGAAGGAGAAAAAGGGAAGCAGCTCCTGGCAGGAAGTAGCCGAGGCCTGCAGGCATTAGCTAAAGAGTTCATCAGAGCTCTCCCCTGTGAGCCTTACCCCAGTACAGCCAGTTACCCCCGATCCATCAACTGCCACTGAGGCTGGCATTCCTGGAACATGAAAACCAGGCTCAACACTCCTTAGCCAAACAAAAGACCCACAGAAAGTAACAGTGGGCATGGAAAGTCATTCATGTATTCAACAAACACCGGTGGAACATTTGTCGAGGCATCAGGGCTACGAAGTGAACAAGACAAATGCAGTCCCTGCCTTTCAGAAGCTTGGAATCCATGCACATGCTCACTGGATATGAGGTTTCCCTTTGGGTGATGGAAATGTTTCTGAACTGGATAGACATGGCGGTTCCATGCATTGGATGCCCTGGATTCTTCACTTTAAAATGGTTGGTTGTTTTCTTTTTAATCCTCACCTGAGGATATTTTTCCACTGACTTTTCAGATAGAGAGGGAGAGAGAGAGAGAAACATTGATGTGAGAGAGACAAGTCAACTGGTTGCCTCTCACACAACCTGAATGAGACCAGGGATTAAACCTGAAACCAAGGTACATGCCCTTGACCAGAAATCGAACTCACGACTCTTCGGGCCAAAGCTGTAACTGCTGAGTCAAACCGGCCAGGGCTAAATGGTTAATTTTATGTTATGTGAATTTCACTTCAATTTTCTTAAAAGATGCACAAGGCAGCAGGCCAGAGATAATAAAAATGTAATGCCCCACCCAGATACTTTGTCCCCAACCTGCTGGCTCATCCTAAAGTTTTCATGAGTTTCATTCATTTATTCAACAAGTCATTTGAGGAGAAAAAAAAATGAGTTTATTTTACCATCAAAAGAATAATTTCTGCCCTGGCCGGTTTGGCTCAGCGGTTAGAGCGTCAGCCTGCAGTCCAGAGAAACCCGGGTTCGGTTCCCGCTAAGGGCATGTACCTCGGTTGCAGTTTGTCCCTGGCTCTGGTTGGTCGTGCGGGTGGCAGCCACTCGATGTGTCCTTTTCACATTGATGTTTCTCTCTCTCTCTCTCTTCCTCTCTCTCCCTCTCACTCTATCTGAACAAAAAATGGAAAAATTTCCTCGGGTGAGGATAAAAAAAAAAAGAATAATTCCTCCCATCTAATGACTAGTCCTGATAACTCTTCATTGAGATTCATTCATTCATTCATTCATTCATTTATTCATTTAGAGTATGCACTCTACACAAGGCATTGGGGTTACACTTGAATGAGACACAATGTCTGCAATGAACAAGGGAGTACAGTTTTCACTTCAAGATATCGGCTTCATTGCCTTTAAATATATACTCAGAAGCGAGATTGCTGGATTATAGAGTAGTTCTATTTTTAATTTTTTGAGCACCCTCCACACTGCTTTCCACAGCGGCTGCACCAATTTACATTCCCATCAACAGTGCAAAAGTTCCCTTTTCTCCACATCCTGGCCAGCACTTGTTGTCTTTTGTCATTTCAGTAATAGCCATTCTAACAGGTATAGTTGATAATTC